TATACAGCTTAGAGTAAGACAACATGCATGAAGAGGATGATGTGGACAAAATACTCATTTGCCTAATAATTCTGCATTCCCTGTATAGACACTCTCTAGTGTTAATTTAACACTGGAGATTTTGCTGTGTAAAGCTCCCCCAAAATAAGGAGAAATATTTTTTCCCCAAAAATTAAAAAGTCATGCAGTAGAGGGTTTTTAAGATGCCAGAATAGGGATGATGGTGTAGGTTTAAGTTTATTAGATTGATCAGTTTTGCTGAACTATAAAATATTTTGGGTGCAGTGTATTTTTTGCATACGAGTATAACAGAATAACTTTAGTGTTTTTTTTGTTTTTAAAACTTGAGTATGAACTTATACAAAATGCAGCAAGTTATTTATAAAAAACAGTTTTATTGATTACAAACTACACTATATCTGATTCATATCAGTATCGGCAGATATCCAAATTTTTGATATCGGTATCGGACTTAAAAGAGTGGTATCGTGCCATCTCTACATAGTATACAAGAACATCTGTGCAGAGTATGGCCTGGAAGTCCTGAGGTCAAAATGGAACATGAGTGGTTCAGAAGAGAACAAAGGTTTTAGTGAAACTGAGGCTTGGGGGTTTGGTGAAAGGTTTGGTGAAACGGAGGCAGAGAGTGGTCAAGAAGGACCAAACTAAGATCCTATGGGATTTTCAGATACTGACAAACTGGTGATGGCTAACCAACCAGACAGTGGTGGACAAGAAGAGGAAACAGAGGAAGATGGCTGTCATGATAAATGTAGCAATACTGAATGATAGCAACATCAGGGAGAAGGAACACAAGAACCTGGGCTGAAATAAAAAGTCAAGAAGGTGTGGAGGGTGAAGGTAACAGTGGGCCTATTGGCAATCAGAGCACTAGGTACAGTGACCCCAAGCTAAAGGAGTGGCTCCAGCAGATCCCAGGAACAACATCGGAGATCTGTCCAGAAGAGCGCAATCCTAGGAACAGCTAAGATACTGTGCAGGACCCTCAAACTCACAGGCCTTTTTTTTAAATAATTTTTTTATTTACTGGTGGAATGACAAAGTTTTTTCTTTTTTTTTATGGAATAGTAACAGTGAGCATTCAGCATTTTTGTAGTGTCCCATGTTTGCTTATTTTTTAAAATGCATTTATTTATCATTTATATATTTGCATGCAGTTGTTTTCAAATGTGTGTTATGTGTTTATGTTATTTCATTTTTATTAATTTATATTTCAGTGCATTGAAACCTGTGTATTTTTATGTCAGGTCCTTTATTGGTCACTGCCACGTGCCAGGCAATTATCAAAGTTTCTTTATTTTCCTGCTCATATTCTTAATTTTTGTGAAATGCTTTGTTTTATTTTGTCAGTAAAATTGGCTTTTGCTTCTGTGTGATGAGTGCAAAAAAAGAATGAAAAGACACTCAAAATAACCAGATTGACTTCTGCTTGGTAATAACTACCTGTCTCCACTCGTATCTCTATTTTGCTGTAACGTTCACTTTCCCTACTACCACCAGTTGGAGGCTTTCTACTCCATCTTCACCACAGAGCAACAAGACCATGTTAAGTCGGTGGAGTATCTGCGCAGCAACTTCAGGCCCATCCAGAGCTTAGATAACCGGCACGTCTTCAAGTCTGCAGTAAAAGATGCCTGGTTGCCTGACCTAAATGACAGCGGCAGCAACCCGTATGGCACGGAGGCTTCCAAAGGTAGGATGTTCACACTTTAAGTATTCATTTTTTGTTTTTGTTTTTATATTACCTATTCATATTCATTGACTTAATTTATATAAAAGGAGGTATTGGTATTTACATCTGTAGTTTCAATCTATGCTTGGATCAAAGTAAGGGAAAATGCTACTTTGGGTCAGGTACTTGTACTAGCTTAAACAGCTACATTTCCCTCGCTGCTATGAACTGAGCTGAAATGAGCTGAGAGTCCAAAGTGCGGAGAACTAATCTGAAGAAATAAAAAGTGAAATCCCAGGCAGAGCAGCTCAATCTTATTGCTTTTAAGGCAAGTGGAGCAGACTGAGGCTTGGTTTGATGACACTGAGGCATGTGGACAAGGTGATAAACTTTCAGTGTTCTACTTTTACAATAATTAATTGATTAAAGCATTTCTTATGGCATTGTATCCAGCTGTAGGCAAATAAAAAATGTAGACAATATCCTGTTTTGTTTCACAGTGAGTGATCTGTTTTAGCATAGCTAACTCAACCAATTCCCCAAAATAAGTTGTAATTTTTTTTCAATGTTCATCTTAATGTCTTAACTTTGTAACTATTATTAGTTTTTGCAGGATAGAGTCAAAATGACACATCCTGGTGGTTCTAGGGTTGTTTAAAATGTTGGCATTGACCCTCTGTTAGTGCTTGGTTTTATCACTTGGTCTCCCAGGTGATCTATACAGAATTCCTAATCTGCTAAAATATATCCTCACATCATACTTCCATAGTAATGATTCTTAATGTTAATAAACGAAGTATATGTACAGATTGTCTTTCCTTTTTGTGTGCTTTTGGATTATCTGTCTTTTTAGTACTAATTCTGTTAACTCTCCTAACATAAGGCAGTGGGAGGCACACTGGCCAACCTCCCACTCTCACCTCATTACCAGTCAAAGAATGCTACAACGTTGTGCAGAGTTTGTGTATGCATGCTGTGTGTTTGTGAATGTGCTTGTTTTTCTCTGTGGATTTATAAGTCTGCATGTGAGGCCTAGCATCTGTTCACTGTCATCTGTCCCTAAAGAGTTTGTCCCCAACCTTCCTTCAGGCACAGTTCCATATGGTCCGCAAGGAAAGTATATATGCTAGACATGCACAAACCCACTCTTCCACATACGCGTGTGTGTGTGTGTTTTCCTGGCACATTATGCTTGCTCGTGTAGGATGTCCTTGAGTGCTACTATGAGACATTTTCTGTATGCAAAGAAGAAATGCAGATCAAGAGAAGGGAAGACGGCTGGGTGGAAGTGTGTAGAATTACAGTTAAAATGAAAATAACAGGTACAGCTATCTAAACCTCTTCTTAATGCAAATATCTAATCACCCAGTTACATGGCAGCAATTCAGTATATTTAGGAAGGAAGAACATGGTTTGAATTACAGCAGAAAGTATTAACTAAGCATTAGAATGGAGAAAAATCCGATCTAAGTGACTTTGAATGTGTCAGAGTATTGTATGAGTATTTTGGAAACTGTTGATCTACTGGGATTTCTCACACAACCATCTTGAGGGTCTTTACAGCAGGTGATTTTAAAGAGAAAATATTCAGTGACTGGTACTTCAATTTGATCAAATTTTCAAGTGAGCTTCGTTTACATTGCGCCAATTCAGAAGAACAATTGCCTCAGAGCACTTTAAATTATAAGGTAAAGACCTACTACCTGAGCAGGAAGCCAACAATCACCGACCCCATACGAGCAAGTACTTGGCAACAATGGGAATGACGGGGGAAAGAAACTCCTTTTTAATAGGAGTTTTTCTGCTATTCTAACTCTGGCAGAACCATGCCCAGTTAGGGGCAGCCATCCACTGTGATAACTGAGGGTAAAGAGAAAGATAAGAGCAGAGAAAGACAGGTTAAAAGGCAAATTATAAGAAAGCGAGCCAGAGTTTATTAATTGTTAATAATTAAATGTAGTAGTAGTGTATAACCTAGAGATGAAACCATACCACTTTTTATGTCTGATACTGATATCATAAATTTGGATATCTGCCGATATGAATCCGATAGTCTTTTATAATCAATAAAACTGTTTTGTTTTTGTTTTTTAATGTCTTGCTGCATTTTGTATTTGTACTCAAGTTTAAAAAAACAAAACACTAAAGCTATTCTGTTATACCTGGATGCAAAAAGTACACTGCACCCAAAATATTTTATAGTTCAGCAATACTGATCTTTTTATTTAAGCTTTTAGCAGAACTTTAAATCTAAAATTTAAATTTAAAATGCAATTTTATGCAGATTTCAAAAACAAAAAATAGAAGTGCAATATAATAATAATAATAAAAATAATAATAATAATAATATGTTTTATTTGAGGGCACCTTTCAGAAACCCAAGGTCACCTTACAAAACAACAACATTAATAAAAGGAGCAATAGTCATAAAATACATAATAAGTTAAAATTGCAGAGCTTGACAACAGATAAAATCAGCAGTAAAGCGAATAAGCCAGTTTGAACAGATGTGTTTTGAGCTGTGACTTAAATATGGAAAGAGTCAATATTTCTTAGTGCAGGAGGAAGAGAGTCCCAGAGCGAGGAGCAGAGCGACTGAAAGCTCTGTTCCCCACAGTGATGAGACGTGCGGACGGAACAGTAAGATGAATAGCAGATGAGGATCTGAGAGGGCGGGAAACAGTGGTGATATGGAGCAGCTCACACAAATATGAAGGAGCAGATTTATGGACACACTTGTACGTGAGCAGTAAGATTTTAAAGTTTATCCTGGCTTCTACAGGCAACCAGTGAAGCTGCTGAAGAACTGTTGCAATATGAGCTCTTGACAGAGTAGGAGTTATGACCCGAGCTGCAGAGTTTTGGAGAAGTTGGAGTTTATGAAGGGACCTTTTAAGGAGACCAAATAAGAGGGAATTGCAGTAATCAATGCGGGACGTAATAAGTTTACGCAAGCGGAATTAATGTGAGACTGGAATGAAAGAGTATTATCAAGTATGACACCCAAACTCTTACCCTGAGGGGAGGGAAGGGTGGGAGAACGTTCAATGTTAATGGAAAAACTGTGGGATTTGGTTAAGATAGATGGTGTACCAACAAGTAAAACTTCAGTTTTATTACTGTTTAGTTTGAGAAAATTGGAGCAGAACCAGGATCTAATCTCAATAAGACAGTTTGAGAGGGAGGAAGGTGGGAGGGTGAACTGGGTTTAGAACAAAGGTAGAGCTGGGTGTCATCGGCATGACAGTAAAAATTTATATATTTTCGGAATATATGACCAAGAGGGAGCATGTAAATAATGAATAAAAGAGGCCCTAATACTGAACCCTGGGGCACACCAGTAGAAACAGGACAGAGACTTGAAGACTGGGATTTAAATTGCATAAACTGAGTGCGGTCTGAGAGATATGAGGTGAACCAGGCAAGGGGGGTGTGACTAATGCCAATGGAAGCTAAACGGTTCAGGAGAATATTGTGAGAAATGGTATCAAACGCCGCACTAAGATCAAGAAGGATGAGGATGGATAGGAGACCAGAATCAGCTGCCATCAGAAGGTCACTGGTAATCCTTAACAGAGCAGTTTCTGTGCTATTACAGATTATGGTTATTGAGGTGTAAGTGAAGCTGGGAGATGACAACTAGGGGAGATTTGATATAGGGCGAAGATTATCAAAGTTATTGGGGTCTGCACCATGATTTTTGAGAGTTGTAATAAAAAAAGCCATTTTCAGAGATATGCAAAATAATATTTATATTCAACAACTTAAAAAAAAACAAACAAAAAAACAAGTTGTATAAAGCCTATAAATAGACTTCCAGAGTGGAAAGCAGTGCAAATAAATGCAAACACAGCTTCATGACACTCATCTTTTATCAACATCAGCGCTTGACTGGGACAAAAAATGGACCCGGGTTTTTTGACTAGAGACCGGCTCACCAGGTATTATAGGAAAAGCCATAAAGCCTTTGAATGGAAACAGACGCTGCTGTGGCAGTGATTTACAGCCTTATTGGTATATGTATGATTTCTATACATGTTACATCAGATAAAAACTTTGGTTGTAAGACTCAGATAATTATTTATTAAAAGCGAGACATTTTAAATGAGAATAAGAAAGAAAAGTATTTCTTTGTGCCCCCCTCTCCCTGTTAATGCCCTACCTGCCCCCCTGGCAACACTTTGCTAGACCCGCCACTGCACAGTTACCAGCTGTCAGCTACTTAGAAAAGGATCCTGGTGTTATTTGTCTCTCAGAAACAGTTCATAACTTCAACTCATTCATGTCACCTAAAAGGTAAACCTGTTTCTCCATCACCTGTTCAGCTCTGATGATTCAGTAAGGACATCTCCTGGTTTCATCTTCATGTTTCCCTCTCACCACATATCCAAACCGACATCATGACCAGCAGCTTTACAGCTGTGGCTCCAGCAAACATCAGCTGATACTAGAAATTAATATTAAATAAATTCTAACAACAGCTGATCAAGCTTAAACGTGCTGCTGTTGTTTAGCGCGACATCCGTGGTTTCCTCTTTCTGGCGCAAAGTGGGCGATAAACAAACAAGAGAGAAAAGGAGATCAACTGATCATTGATCAGTTTTATGATTGAAGTAGCAACAGGAGAGGGAGGGGGGAGAGAATGAGAGAAGAAGAGGCAGCTGTGCAGCGTAAAGACAGAATAACTCCAGCTTTGTGTCTTTTTTTTTCATTCTAGCTGAAGTACGGGACCATTTGTGTTCCTTTTCAACTCAATAGGGAGATATTGTAATTGGTCCAGCCCAGAGTCCATCATGACCAATTGACCAACTTACCACCTTTCATTGTTTATACTGTTACCAAAACCCAAAACAAGACAAACCAAGACAAACAAAAAAACCTTCGGCCCATAAAAATGAAAAATCACCATCGGCCCACTGGGCGGCGAGTCCCGCTGTGATCAAGATGGATGTCAGTGTAAGCTGTTTTTTAACACCCCATATTCCTGAAGCATCTCTCAAAGAACACCCTGAAACTACGTC